GCATGTGTCCAAGTCAGAGCTCACTCATGTCATATTTGTTCTCCTGCAAATAGCAAACGAATCTAGCAGTATATATATGGATCTGAAACGAAAAATCTCTGTTTTGTATCTGACGCAAGGAGAAGCTGGGTATCATCAAGCGTCGCAAAAGGCACGATGGAAACCTATGTTCTCCACGATGGAGAAGCTGAACAATCAGACACAATGGCGACCAAAATAATTTCACAGCATAAGGCGTTTATGTATGGATATTTCATGATTTAGAAAAATCAACTTCGTATTGGATAGCTGTGGGTACAGTACCGAAGATCAAACATCAGACCATTCTATCTGCAACATCGGTATACATGGACGGAAGCATCAGCGCGATCCTGCTAATTGTGTTGCTGAGTTCAGATGGTGACTATTGTCGTCTCTCAGAAAGAGCTTCGCGTCCGGTGGAGAAGCCTCTCAAGAAGAGGACCCCTGACAGCATCAAGAGCAGGGATAGTACGTGGAGCCGTGCTATGGCGTGCCAGGATTATCGTGTTCGGATACAGAACCTCATGTTGTCGTCCAACTGTATCAATCGTGACGACCTCTATCAGGGGGCATTCTCCACGACACGCGTGACGAAGTCCACCTGGCCCTTGGCTGCTCTGAGTTTGGGATATTTCCTGGATCAAAGGCCCGCTGTTTCCATAGGGCAACCAAAGAAGGTATTGTAACTGCATGACATCGTGAGTATCTAGTATAGGCATGAAGATCTGTAAGGTTGCAGTAAAGCTGAAGTTCAGTTACACAGATGCTGTTACTACTTCTATAAGTATATGAACCTTTGAAAATAATTGAGCAATTAGTAAATTATATGCATGTTTGAAGAGAGGTAAATTCTGAGAACGAGAGATCCTGATCAACTCAGATTAAATAGATGGTCCGAGAAATGGGGCCGGAACGAAACATGTGACAGATGCTTGGGTTGAAAACAATAGCTATATGTTCATAAAGAGGAACCGATCGAGAAGTTCACTCACATGTAGTTCGAGGTTCTCGATAGCCGAAGCAACCCTCAGTAAAGAAATCGAGTAGAGAATATTTTCATCATCTTGATAACACATCAGGCCTCGTAACCGTACATGCTCGAGCCAGGAAAACACGCGAGGGCTCTCTAGCATCCACTGCCACTGAAATATCCAAGAGCAAACACTGTTGCGAAACCAACTTACACGAGCCAAGACATAGCAAGGATTAATGTTCGTGCCAAGAACATACATACCTTTACTTGTGTAACTGAAAAGTCGAACATGATGTGTTGGACACAAACGTTCGCCGGGATCACCTCGAGAAGCCACTCTCCAGCTTTGTCGAAGCATGACCGATGGCAATAGGCATGCAACATCCATCTTACACAAACGTCGCGAGCTTTGCAGCATGGAAGTCTATCTTGGTCACCGCAATGCTCCACTCGCAAGTACCGTAGGTGGGGCAGTGCCAGAACCACCGTCAGTTCATCATTCAAATAGCATTTGATCATGCTCAGCCACTCAAGGTTGTCGCAGCCGCATAAGATGTCCTCGAGACCCCTTCTGGTGGTTATCACACGGCATTGAGGTCAAGCTTTCTTTCTTAGGTTTGAGAAACCTGCGAAGTGGGGAGGAGGTTTCAGACACACCCAGCTAAGCCGAAGACATTGTAGAAACGATGTACTTTCCTTGTCCAAAGGTAGAAAAGGGAATATGTAAGGAGAGCGCCCGAGTAAAATGGGCCCTGACGCCAAATCCAAAGTTAGATTCTTTGTCCGCGACGACACGGCGAAACTGACCCAATTGTTGAGATGGCCACCTAGCTTGCCGTCGAGTTCAAATTTGATCCCAAGTTCCTCGACCCCCCGCCCCCCTGCGGCGATGTTGTCGAAGAACATCATTAATACGGTCGACGAACACCTGGGTATCTTGTTTCCCCCAAAGGCCACACACGATGCAGCGATTGAACCTGAGCTTTGGGCAGGCTGTCCATGTATATCTCTACTCGGTCGACAAAACACGGTCCGGTCAACCTCTTTCATGGGCAGTTTCGACATGATTTCCCATAGCATATCCTTTAGGGAAAGAGGAAAAAGGAAAAAAACTTCAGTTCAGAAGTCGATCGGCGCAGTAAAAACTGTGTTGGATTGAAATCGCTGAGTTTATACATAGTACCATTTTCAATAAATGAATTCTTGGATCTGAGTAAAGTGGTGACACAACATTGTGCTGTGAATTATTTCAGCTAACATCGATGTTGTCTCACGGGGAATGAACAGTACAATTTGGAGTGGACTATTTTTTCGTGTGTTAAGAGCATCTCTAGCACATGTATGGCGTGTTAAAAGTCCAAAACATATCCCTCAAAAAAATTATGATTTATAGGGGATCACACATTTTCTCATACCGCCCCTCCTCCGTTGGCCTCCAGGCCGTGGAGGTGCGGAGGACCTCGACCCCCGCCTTTGGAAGGGACCCAACCCTCGTTATTGTTAGATTTACGTCTTGGTTGGTGCTGTGTGGCAACAACGATATCTTTTAGTAGGAATAGTGTCTCCCATGTTTGATCCCAGTGCCGACGATGCGTCCAGCATACTCGAAGGGAGTGTGGAGGTTTGCCTCACTTGAATCTTATGGGATTTGTTCAGTGTTGGTCTTTGATGGATTCGTTTGGATCTAGTCTTTGATCACGTCTTTATAGGTTTCATCCTTCGTACTCTTTTCATCGGCAATGGTGGTTGCTCTGGTGCGTTGATCCTGTGGGGCCTTTGCACGATGACTTCTTAACTTTCTACAATAACAAGTTTTGGTCGGCTCCGATAAGGGAGGGGTGATGACGACGGTGTGCCATCCGCTCCGCTGCATTTCATCTCATCTCGTCCTCTTCTCTTGGTTGTTCTTATTCTCCATCTCTTGTTTTTCTTGCTTCTTCTTCTCAGCGTATTTGCTTCTTGTCCTCATTAACTCATCGATCTTTTTTGAATCACCTTCACCTCTCCTTCTCTTTTTATTCTTAGCTTTTCGACTTTCTCTTGTTGGTCCACCCGTGCTAACCGCCGGAGTGGTATTTTTAGGAACCTTTGCTCTTTCATGTACATCAACATCATCTGCGTTGTCGTCCATCTGCAGTGAGGACTTGGCGCGCTTCCAGCTTTTGGATTACCTTTATCATTCCTCGCCTTCCATTTCTCGTGCTCTTCAAAAAAGCCCAACAATGTTGGAGGCCAAACGGTTTTCCCTTCGACTTGGGCATTTGTTTGAGCCTATATTGGGCTATTTCACACTAAAACAAACAAATGCACAAATTGATAAGAATGCTCAAAGTAATACAAATGTGGCAATAAAAACAATAAGATTGCTTCATATTGATCAATGATGACACCACTACAAGGAGTGTGCTTCAGTTGCTCCTTACAACCCGCCCAACGGCATCATCACCTGTTGAAGCGAACCCCATTGGATTGTGAGAGATTTGAGACTATGTTTCGGTCTTCGCCCAAGATGATGTTGAAAATGCACCTCGACGTGTTTTCAATACTTTGCCGCCTATTGATCTTTCCTGGCGATCACATCAAGAGAGATATCTTGCCATGCCAGGACAACCGCAACATCCTCATCAGGTTTAAAGTTGCTTCCCTGAATTGTCTTCTTTTTTGACGAGTCAGGGGCGTCAGATCGGTCAAATTGTATATGTAGGAGGGAGTCATGTTCAAAATGCGACAACAATGCGCCCTCGAGGTCGACATCATTTGTATCGAAATCACCAATCATATAATTGGGAAATGTTTAATTGTTGTGTGTCAAACCAACCAAATTCAGAAATTCATCACTAAATCAAAAACACTGCACATTTACCAACAATTGTCACTGTCATCTGGTATTACAACGAACAAAAACCGAATACAAGGCATATGTGGTCTTTTTTTTACCTCATTGCCGTTGCAGATTCGGTGTATGACAAAGTGACGTGGGTGAGGATCACGGG